AGTCCTTGAAAACTATTTAAACTGAATACCCCTAAGGAGTAGATGCAAATCTTTAGTTTCTCGATACACGTCAAAACTAACAAGTATGTCTTTAGCAGGAAGATGGCTTCCAAGAAATTTTATCCAGTATATACATCTAGGGAAAAATCTTATACCAAGTTTTCTTTTAGTAATAAGATCTATCGTAAAGAGTTTATCATCACCTGTAACAAAATACTCATTGTAAGGGACCCATTCTTCTCAAGGGAGGATGTAGGGTTTCATGACAATTTTACAAAATTCAGTATCCATAAAGGCAATGACAAAGACATGGACATCATATTTGGAAGGTAGGATCTAGATTTTTACATTGGGCTGTGGTACTTAAGGTAGATAAGGTGGTTGGTTGAGATTTATAAGGTATGTGGGGGTTAGGTTTAAAGGAGATGGATTAAGGTTTTGAATTGGGCTAGGCTTAATAGCATAAAGAGGTAGATATTGATAAGGATATTGTTCATCATATGAACTTTCATCAAAAATTGGAAGAACATAACAAGCATCTTCATCTTTTTCTAATTGTTCTTTAAGAACAAATTCAACATCTTGATCATCATCGAGAGGAGTGATAGTCTCAAGAGACTATAACAGCTTCATGCCCTTTTTGGACTTGTCGGGGCAATTTTTTTACAAAGTGCCCTTTCTGACCACAAATGAAACATCAATATGATTTCTTAATCTTTGAAGTTCTTTTTTTTAAGAATCTCATAAAATGATACCTTTTAGTCTGAATGATTTATGCTTATATTTGTGGAAATTAATCTTCTTTTTGTAAGAGCAAAGGTTAGGTTCTTTGCATTTAATTTTCAAATAAGGCTTCTTACAAGTTGATTGTAATATTGGCTTTCCTTTTAACATGGATTTTAGAAACTATAGTTGTTCACAAAACTTATCCAGAGTGGACAAGGCTAGTTGATAGATTTTTTTCAAGAGAGATTTGTGAAATATCTCTCCTTAATGCGTTGATTGTTCTACGCAGCTCTAGTTGAAGTACTTCTAGTAAAGAAGCAATAAATGTATGCTTGAGATTAACATAATTGGCACCATTTACTTCTTAGACATTCGTTACAAATGCTTCTAAAGATCTTTTTGATTGAGTGAACAGCACTTCATTTTAAAGAATTCTTAGCCACTTCTTTTGTCAATGGCATTGAAATCTACAAGAAATTCTTTATGAATTACTCTAAGGAGTTGGGAAGCATTAACGTAAGTAGCTCGGATCTTATCAATTCACTAAGACTTTGGAACTATTCTCTCAAGTTTCTAGTCATTCTTAAGAGAAATTTTAAAAGTACTTCTCTATAGTAACATAAGGTCTAGTCATTTGTAAGTTAATCCAAGCATTAAATTCTTGGAGTCTTTCTCTCCATCTATAAGGAGGCAAATCATCAAATATAAACTAGGGTTTAAAAGTAAGTCTGGAGCTAGAAGCATGATGAATTGGTTCAATAGGAATTTCTTCCATAATTCTAGATTATTCATTAAGATGATCTTCTAAGACTATTTCTATCCTAGTTTTATCTTAAGGTTGTTGTTGATGAGTTTGGGGCTAGACCATTGTGACTTTTTGATAAATCAACTAAGTATTGATATGTTTCAGAGGCTGTGTGCTCTATAGAGACTTCAGTTAAAGCTACAAAGTCTGTATCTTCTTGTTCAGAGAAAACCTAATTAAAAACAATATTTCACATAGAAGTCATGTTTTTGAAGGCATTTGAGGGATCTTCAATCCCTTTAAGTTTGTCAAATGTAGATGGTAGCTTGGTTTAATGTAGAGGAGGTGGTATCTTTATGGTCAAGGGTTTTTTTGGGATTTTAGTAAATGATAGTGAGGCTTAGTAATCTTGAGGTTTTTGGTAAGAAGGTGGGCTATAAGACACAGGTGTTTTTGGTTTTTAAAGTGTTGTTTCTAGGATTTCCTATGAACTAGGTACGACATCTTAAACACCTTACTATAATCAGTCTTAGTTAGATAAGTTGGATGTATGGAGGTATAGGTTGGGAATTGTCTAGTCATAATGGGGAAGGTTGGATAGGACTCTTAAATAGTCCTACACTAGTCTTAAATTAGGTCTACTTCTATTTTCTCTAATTGTCTCTTTACTTCAAAAATTTCATTTTTTTTCTAAAGTATTCTGGTCCACTATATCCTTGGTCAATAAACCTTTAGAGTTCTACATCTAATTTTTGTTCTTGGTTATAAAGTCTTTGGTACAGGTTCTTTACTTGGTCATCAATTTAATTAACCTATGAAGATAGATTTTCTGTTGTGGTCGTCAAATGATCAAGCTTGGAATCTATCCTGTAAAGGACTCTATGTTGGCTGACAGCACTTTAAGATTGCTAGTTGAGAACTTCTTTAGCTGGTGTAACAAGCTTGAGAGTACCTTGAGGAGTTACTTTATTTATAGGACAAAAGGTCTATTAGTCACCTTTATCTTGTCGTCTATTTTTTGTTCAAAAGGAGGAAGTTCTTCCTCATAAGGTCTCATCATTGCAATACAAGGTAAAGCTTGTATTGGTACAGGTGAGATTATTGGAATGACAGGTTTCAATCGTTGTGGAATAACTAGTTTTGTTGTCTCCAGAAGGAGAAGTTCTTTATGGCCAAGTTTTTAAGGAGTTCAAAGAGAGTAGTCCTTTCTGTGTTTAGGGCCATGGTCATTGCCATCATCTTTAGGAGGATGCTTATGTCTACATTAAGATCTAGGATGCTTGGGCTTCTTGGTTCTTGTTCTTTTGCAACTGTAATCTTCATCATTAGAATCATTCTAGAGGTAAAAGTCACAACTTGGATCACACATTTCTGGGGTGCAATCCCAGATGAAGTGACCATTGATGTGTGAGACATAGACAGGCTTGGGTTTTATAATAAACCACTCAATAGGAGGATCCCATTTATCTCCAACACAACAAAAGCTAAAGAAATAGACATTATTGTTCCAAAGATTTGATTTGGATCTTGTGTTCCAGGTCTCTTGAAAACAAATTTAATAATACATCCTAAAGTTGATAGCATTCAGGAGGTTCTATAGTATGAACATCCTTCTAGAAACCATGGAATTTCCTTTCATAGTTGTTAATCCATTCTAAGGGCATCATATTGGCAAGTTGCTCAGTAGGCAAATGTCTTGGTATTTGAAGGATGGATGAGGTCTATGAGATTATTTGCAACCACGTAGAAAGCATCTTTGGTTGCATTGGAAAGTTAAGATCAAAAGAATGATCTTGAAGCTGAAAGATCATTTTATAGTGGAGAGTTTCAAATAGCATTTGATTGTTATTCTACTCCATGGATCTGGATTTGAACTTTTAGTCATGAAGAAAGAGTTGGATTAGTAAGCTTTATATTGAAGTTAGGGGCTATGGTAAAAACCACACTTTCGTTATTGAGAGTAGTCAATATGACTCTAATCAAAGCATTCTGATATGACTTATAGGTAGAATCTAGTAGAGCAACTCTAACAGTTACTGGAATACCTCTTTTATGAAGGGTCAAGACAAAACAGATGCCTCCGACATGAAGGCCGTGAGTATAACCTTGATTAATCCATGTATCGGTCAAGGGTTGTGTAATCTCTAAGGAGATGTATTATTTAGCAGTTGAAGCAAGAATACCAGACTAGTTTAGATTAGAAGTTTGGATAACGTCTTTTGGATGGGGACGATAAGTGTAGATCAAAGATTTGATTTCATGTGTGAAAGAGTTTCCTTTATGATAGAGTTTGTAGGGATTGAGAAAGGAAGTTCTGTAGCTAGGACATAGGCATCTTCTAGTATAGAGGAGAATTCTACAAGGTTTTCTATCTTTTAGAAAGGGTTCATTTTATAAATGAAGCAAGGTTGTCAAAAAAAAAAACAAAGGGCTGAAGAGAGACAAACTGGTTCAAGGGAAGTAGAGCTTTCTAGGAATTCACTTATATTTCTAGGTGTCTCCTTACTCACTTTTTATTAATAATATCTAGTATCTGTCGATGAAGATATTAAAAATTATAGTTAACTTGATCAATTTTTACTATTAATCACCACTATTAACTACCTATAACCATCATCATTAGTTTCATTTTTTATTTGTAAAACTATTTTTTAATTGACATAAGCAAATAGATTTTCATTTTATTTTGTTTTGAAAAATAATTTTAAAAACTGTATCACAAAACAGTTTTTAAAAATAAAAAATGAGAATAAAAACTAAACAAGCCTTTAATTTCTCAATTATTTACTTGAGATTTCACAATTTATTGGAAGACTGCAGGGTAAAACACAAGCAAGTGAAAAGATATAATGAATATTGAAACTTTTGTTTTCCTCCTATTTGCCCATTATGACCAGTGTCTGGTCGTGCATACTGAAGGTGATCATCTTTAATTTACCACCAAAAATATTAGTAAATACTCACAAGATCTTACATTATTATAATTTATAAGGTGGATGCTGAAATCTGAAAATAACAATTCAATCTCGAAAAATGTGATAATAACAATAAGATCCCGAGGGGCTTCTTTCAAGTTAAATTTATGTGTGAAATTACTTTAATATCCCTTTGCAACTAATTTTATATGGTTCACAAATTTGGTATAAATATTTACAAGTTTGATTCCACCAATAACTAATAAAAAGATTTAGAAAATCATCATTTTCTAAATCACATAGAGATATTAAAATAATTTCACACATAAATTTAATCTCAAAAAAGTTTCTTACGACCTCACTATCATTATATTGTCATATTTTGCAGGATTAACCAAATTATTATTTTTTTATTTTAAAGGAATTTATTTGTCATTCTCCCTAATTTATATTATATGGAATAAAAATTTATTAACAATGAGTGATAAGTTGAGGTTGGGATTAATTCGTTGATGCATAAAGAACAAAAAAGTCAAAACATATTTAATAACTTTGGTGAAATTAGCAACATAGATAATGTTTCGATGACCTCAATGTTGTCTTTTGTGTTCTAGTCTCTAGAAGGCCCCACTTGACCCAAGAAGCAGGGGAATTGCCCCACGCAATTTGAAAATCGTTTGGCTCACAGAACTTTCAAAAACGGCAATATCGTCATGCCCATGACAAGTTTGAACATAAGGAAAACAGCTGAGATGCCACGCCACATGGCTGTCTTGGCCATACTACTACAAAATATGTTTATAGGAGCACCAATTTTAAAGCGTTTCAATAAAAAGTGCCCTGAAAAAAATGATGTGGAACATTAATTTGAAGGGCTTTTATAAAAAAATGCTTTGAAAATTACAACCAACAGGAGCGCTTTTAAGATAAATGTTCTCATATGCTAGCTATGAAAGCACTTCCGTAGGCCAAAAATAAGTGTTACAAAATAGTTTTTGTTTTTGTGTTTTCTAGTAGTGTGGATTCCTTTGTGTGTATAGTGTATGTTTCTTCTATATGGCACTGATAACTAGTTTTTTTTTTTTTTAAATGGATCAAATACAACAAATACCCTCTACACACATCTACATACTTACCCTTATTCTCATAAAGAAGGTGATCCTTTCCTCGAAGGGAAGAGTAACACATTTTCACCACGCTCACGTACATGTTAACCACATGAGTTATAGAACTCACAACCTCCTTCTTTCAAGGGGATATGGAGTATCATTGAATCAAGGAACTATTGGCAGACATTGATAACTGTTTTAGGATTATTAAAAAAATTAGATAAAACTCTAATCTCTTTAAAATCATACATCTTTTCGGTTACACACGCTTGTTAAATAATTTATACATGTGTTTTAATCATGATAATTGAAATTTCAATATATCATTTTTTAAAAAAAATAAATGAAAGTACAGCTTAAAATAATTATAAAAATTACTTAATACTCTATCTTGTAACACAAGCGGTGCTGCTGGAAGATACTCTGTATGGTATGAAAGGAAGAATTTTCTGATATAAATTCTCCTTTTGACTCGCCAATAATCTTTAATAATCCTCGACACGCATATATATGTAGATACGTCATGGCTTCTCTTTCCCTTCTTCATCTTCATTCCCTCCGCATAAAAAGATGCTTTTTCAACCTAATTTCCTTTCTTTCACCATCATCTTCATGTTCTGGTCATGGTGGAAACTTAACGGCGTCGTTTCGGATCCACAGACCAATCCTGTAACCAAACGGTGCACCCCGTCATCCAACCCAGTCGTCTCGTCCAACTTATCCGTCGTCTATGACACTGTAAACGCAACGTTTCAAGACATCAGAGATCAGATCTTGGCTCAAAAAAACCACTTCGCGAGGGTGCGAGAGGCCAACGCGGGAAACCCCGCCGTTTCCACACTTTTTCAGTGTAGAAACTACATGTCCATTCCTGACTGTGTTGCCTGCTTCGACGTTGCTGCCAAACAAATCCGCGACTGCCCTACGGCGGCACAAGGTGCCGCTGTTGTCTATGACGGTTGCTTCCTCAGGTACAACTCCTCAAAGCTAGAGTTTGACATTTCTCTTTTGAATAGAAGATAGTAGGGATAGATATTTTAGGGGATATGGATGAGATATTTATTTTGATATCATTACATAGTCCTCCCTCTGTTCCTAATTATTTTATCCAAATTATATACACGCAGATAGAGAGAAAATATTGAGATTCAATTGATGTGTAACAATTTTTTTGCACTTTCTAATTTTGCTCTCAATCATAAATGTCATTATTTGCAAGGGCCATTTCAGGAACAAAAAAATTAATTACTCCTACAACTTTGCAATGGGTCTTGTACTCTTTTTTTTTTTTGGGTAGTAATGGGCCATAGACACTTATTATCAATGTCACCACAACTCTAGAAATTGAGTCTTACACACACACACACACACTATATATATATATATATATATTGATGTATTGATGTAAAGGTACAATTGATAATAAATTGATTGGCAAATTTTATTTTATGAAGTTATATGTTTATTCTAATGAGAATTTTCTTGTATAAGAAAATTATTTTAGCTTTTTTTTAATGCAAAGGAAAAAAATATATCTATCAAGTGAACAATTCTATTTTACAATTATCAGATTAGAACTTACAACTTTATTATGATAAGTTTACCACTACCTTTTGATGGATAAAATTCTACATTACATCAGGTTCCAGCCGGGGAGGTTAGTCAAAATAATCCACTAAAGGACTTAAAAAAAAAAAAGGTTCCTTACATTGTTTGAAAATCCATAGTCCACACAAATATTAGAAAGACGTAGCCAGCTTCAATTAGTCTACCTTCTCTAGCACATGATGGTCATTCATGCAACTAAATTATGAGTCTCTTAACCAGGCCTGAACCTTAGCTATTATAAACAGGATAACTAGCTTAATTGACATGAATTATGATTTTAGGTCTCTTCGTGAACATATGATAAAATTGTGAGTTGATTCTCATCCTTCAATAAATTTATGAAGAGTTTACCTTTTAGAACCCTAATCTATTTACACAATATATATCATCCAATAAGATTGATATGTAAATAAGTTAAACCCTTATCACTGAACTTGGGAAAATGATGTGGTATACTTTGTATATTGAGGTACGAGACCAGTAGTTCATTCTTTGACCATACGACGGAGGATTTCAATGCCGTCTCTTGTGGTAATCAAGCTGTTGGAGAATCCGCAACATTTAACTCAGCTGTGCTACAAGTGCTAATGAATCTGCAGACAACAACACCCAAAAAACAAGGGTTTTTTGCAGCCACAAAGATAGAATTGCCTAATAATGGTACAACTATTTACGCCTTTGCTCAATGCATTGAAACTATCACTCAGAATGGATGCTTCGAATGCTTGAAGACTGGCTATTACAATATGCCAACTTGTCTTCCCAATTCGGATGGCAGGGCTTATGCTGATGGCTGCTTCATCAGATACTCCAACTCTTCCTTCTTTCCTGATAATTACCAGATGATTGAAATCATCACTAATTCGTCTGCAGGCAAACAAGGTATGTTTTGTTCAAAGATTTTAATATAACTCAAATATTGCGACATGACTATTTGATTTTCTTATGCTTATTAAAACTTCAGTTATATGTATCGATCAGAAAGATTTTATTACAAATAACCAATATGGAATATAAAATTTTACAGAGAATTTCACTATTCATAAGTTATGATCATTGGAATTCTAAATGGGTTCGGGCTTTTTTTTTTTTTTACTCCTTCAATCTTATCCCTTGTATATTGTATTAGGTTCCCTGTGATTTTTTTTTAATTCATCCAATGTTCTCTGCACATTTATGGCAGGGTATAAATATTGGAAAAAATTAGTACAATTATTGAAAATTTTATAGTTAATATCTATTATATATGTGCATCGCGAAGATATCTAGCTAGTTATAAAATTTATCTAAATTTATCCTTTAAACTGTCTTCTTCATAGAAAATGATATAAATATCAATATTGATTTTGATATATATGTTTTTTTTTTAAATACAACGATATCGATATGTGTTATAAAACATGACGAATTTTAGAATGTATTCTTCATGTAATCTACTGGTGTGCGTGTGCGTAAAAATGTTATTTGAAAATGAGTTCTCTTACTCTAGCCTTGTCTTGTAGGTTCAAGGAAAAAAGGGGCTGTTATCGGTGGAGTTGTTGGAGGGGTTACTCTTATTTTGATCCTCCTTTTATTATTACCTGTTTTATTAGACGATCAAAAAGCTCTAAGAGAATTCACAGAGGTAAGCATATTTTCATCTCTATGAAAAGATCTATGAATCCCTAATTGATTCTTTAAGTTTATGAAGAGACTTTGACAAATGTTTTCCTTAATAGGGGACGTAATTACAGCAACTATGCTGAAAGGCCTAGTTTCTTACTGTTATAAGGATTTGAAGTTTGCAACTCAGAATTTTAGTGAAGAAACTAAACTAGGAGAAGGAGGATTTGGTGCCGTATACAAGGTAAATTTATTTTCTTTTCACATAGTTTAATATAAACCATGTTATGAAATAATGATGTTTTCAAGTGAGATTTATATAATGTAAAGTTAGATTTGCAATGAGGTAGAGGCAAAACTTCTAACAATAAGTTCTGGTTGATGCTCTAAATCAACATGAATAGGGCACTCTAGGAGATGGGAAAGTAGTTGCAGTCAAGAAGTTAACTTTACAACATTCCAGAAAGACGGAGGAAGATTTTTTCAGTGAAGTGATGCTTCTAAGCGACGTTCACCATCCGAATCTCGTTCAACTTTTGGGATGGTGTTGTGAAGGCCATGTCAGAATCCTTGTATATGAATACATGAAAAACAACAGTCTGGACAGATTTTTATTTGGTATCTTACGTCAACTGAAAGAACTTGTATAGTTTTTTAAGCTTTAGTTTGTTATGTTTCTTAAAGTTTTGATTTCAACTTAGTAATATCATTGACTCACTAAACAAAATCTTTATGCCATATTTTAATGAAGGACTTAATTCACACATACACACACGAATTACTTGCAGTAACATTAAGAGAACAATTTTTGTTTCACTCTTCTTTTCTTTGAATGTTTCAATGTTTGTGAACTTGGCAACTAGGTGAAAGGAAAGGTTATCTCGACTGGAAGCAACGATATGATATAATTTTGGGAATAGCAAGAGGTTTGACTTATCTCCACGAGGAATCTCATCTTCGTATTATACATAGAGATATAAAAACTAATAACATTCTCTTAGATGATGATCTACAATCTAGAATTGCTGATTTTGGATTGGCAAGACTTTTACCTGAAGACAAATCTCATCTTAGTACAAAATTTGCAAGAACATTGTAAGTCCAGATATTGAAGTTTCTTTGATTTATCTTAACTTGTGTTATGGTACATGGATTATCTAACATATCAATAGAATCTGAATCTATGCATACGTAAGAACACTCCTATCACACTTGCAAAAAAGTTCTATACCTTTCCAATTTTGTCTGTATATACCATGAATGCTTGAAGAAAGAATTCATAGCTCTGTCAAACATGATCTGATCTAATACTTCAGTTTTCACATCTCTGTATCAAATTTAGTTGGATAATAATTATTTCCTTTTATTTGAGCTAGCAATCAATACAGTTAATTGTATCATATAATTTTTATGCATTTGTTAGGGGATACACAGCACCAGAGTATATAATCCATGGTCAATTATCAGAGAAGGCCGATGTCTATAGCTATGGTATTGTAGTCCTTGAAATTATTAGTGGCCAAAAAACCAAAGCATTAGAGGATGATGGCGACAATGAAAACGAGTTCCTCCCTCTAAATGTGAGAAATTCCTGTGCTTATTCAAAATACATTAATTTGATAAAATTCACATATATTGGACTTTCTTAAGAACTCAACTTAAGTCTTTTTATAAAAATCTCAATTTTGTCTTTCAATCAGAGAATCTAATAATTAATACATATTTATAAAAATTAACATAAGTTTTGCTTTGTCTTTTCTACCCCTCTTATTCCATTTCACTTTAATCCCAGGCTTGGAAACTATATGAGAGAGGCATGCACTTGGATTTGGTGGACAAAACCTTAGACCCAAATGACTATGATGCAGAAGAAGTGAAGAAAATCATAGAGATTGCTTTGCTTTGCACCCAAGGATTTGCTGACTTAAGGCCAACAATGTCTGAAATAATTGGTTTGCTCCAAAGCAAGGGCTTGCTAGAGCATATGATTCCCACTATGCCTGTCTTAATTGTAACTAATTAGGGGCTAATATTCATCTTTACCTCTTCATATATATACTAAACCAGCCAGATGATGTATTTTACAGGAATGGGCACATATGAGTGACTTTCGAGTTTGGAACCCAAAAATGATTATCCTTCATTTCATTCTTCAATCTTTGAGTGTGATTACACATCAAGGCTGGAAAATATTATTTGAATTGATTCTCACGAGTTGCAATTTTGAGGAAATATACTAATATCGTTTAAAATTTAAGTAAATTATTATTTTTATTTATTTTATATTCAAAGTAACATTAAGAATACAATATCCAGTTTTGTTTTCTAATTATTTATAGTCAAGTTAGTTTTTACAAAGCATGAATTTTTAAATGAAATTAATTATTTTTCCCTTTCGAACATATTGAGAATAAAACAACACAATTACATAAGAACGAATTTAAAAACAACACAATTACATGCATGTCATTACGAGGGTTAAAAAAAACTTCATAGAAAAAGTTGTTGCGAACACTTTATACTACGAAAAGGAAACCAAAATACATACATGCCCACACTTTTGAACCACACGTTACGTAGATTGTCTGACATATACAAATGTAGATAGTTAAGGGATTTGTATTCATCCTAGATGTAACACCACAATCTGCTATGTCTTATATATATTTATTATTATTTTCTCAAATATTGATTGAACACATTAACATGTGCCATTAATAGTAGTTTTCAATGTAAATTATTAAAATAAAGGTATTAAAAAACTTAATTTTTTTTACAAGTACTAATTTTCTTAGTCTATGTCAATTTATTATTGCTAAAATCTAGAATTCATGTCATTTGAGTACATTATTTTCCTTATATTTTAATATATTTTGGCTCAATTGTGTATATTTTGATTGTCCAAATTAAAAAATAAACGTGCACTTTGGGTTTGCACACTTGGTCTATAATTTAATACTTGTGAGTTAATTTTGTATTATTTTGGTTTAAAATTTTGTTAGATGTACTTCTAGACATTGTTGGTATTTTTGGAAAGCTTTTAGCTGATGAAATCAAATGCAAAAATAAGCTACCACGCAAATTGGAAGAATATTGCAAAACTTTCATAGTTATCACAAAAAGTCGTAACTTTTACCATTGTCAATAGAACCATTGTGTTTTGCTTAATTGAAAATGAGTAGGTAGGAAACATATATGCTACTTGTTCAACTCAGAATGTATTCTTCACACTTTGAGACATATTTGGAGCTAAGTCAAAAAAATTACAAACAAAAATTGGTCCAAATTGAAGAAACAAAAAACAACAAAACTCAACCAGAAAAACGACAACAGCGGAAACATCAACCACGAAAACATCCACCTAGTTGCCCCCAGGAGAATTAATTGCTTGAGAAAAAGACCCTTCTTTGATTGATGTATCTGCATGTGGAGTACCAAGGCCTTTGAATATCATGCCAATTAATTTCATGAATTACACTATCATGTCATTTATATAAAGAATATGATTTTACTTTTAGCATTTTAACCTATTAATGAAACAAGGATGAATGTTTTTGACTTAGATTTCCCCCCAGATTTATTCATTTTCTTGCTTTCTACACCTGTTAAAGTTGCTTTTTACACTAGTTATATAATCGGTTCGAGAACATTTTTACTGAATCCATGCTGACCTACTTATGAGAAAATTTTGTTAGAGTTGAATGGCACAATAATTACATAGATGACCAAGAACGTTGGTGGAAGGACTGAACATAGAACGCCCATTGCTGGTAATTATACTGAGTCAGTAACTCCCAAACATGAAACCCACAATTTTCACAATGCAAAGACAGAGCCCAGATTCAAAGAAAACAAAGGGTCCGAGGAATTATTGACGACTAAAAGAGCCCATTAAATGCAATTGCTCTTGGACGTTCAAAAATTCGGAAGATGCAATCTCCATGGGTACTTCCTTCAAAGTCGGACCAAGTGATGGCATGCTTTTAGAAATTTGAATCATCTTTAGATTAATCCCTTCATACCCAAAACATTATGTTTTTTTTTTTTTACTATCTTAAATTTTATATTTTCCCTTCCTTCTCTTTCCCTCCTTTGTAAACTCAGAACTCTTCATCCATCTGGCTTCTCTTGGAGTTGGCTTCGGATCCTCATTGATGAGCACTGCGTTGCTCATCAGGGCAAATGTTCATCTTGGCCTTTGAATTAGATTTTGAAATGATCCTTTCTGTTCATCTTATAAATTGATTTTTTTAGATATTTTTAAAATTATATATATTAAAATAAAAATTTATAAAATTAAATCTGGACTGTCTTTTGTGCTTGCTATGGTTTATCCCTGATAAGATTAGGACAGTTGATATTTAAAATAATTCATTTTTATTTTATATTTATCAAAATAAAAATTTATAAAAACTATAATAAATTTAATAAATATGTTCACCACCAACTTGGTCAGTATAGATTTAATCTGTACAATTCAATTTAATATTAATTTTTTACATATTTTATAAATTGATTATCTAGATATATCATGAATATTACAAATATAATCTGGACAGTTCAATTTAATAGTAATTTTTTTATAATTTTATAAATTGATTATCCATATATACTTTGAATAGGTTAAATTTAATATAGCTTTAATCTATCAGTATAAATTGATGTTTTTATAGGTTAAATTTTTTCATAAATTGATTTTCCCTTCGACGCGATGAGCACCGGATCCGTTGGCTTCCATACTCCTATCTTCCCTACTTTTTGGATCTTAACTTCAATACTTCAATGATTGATATTTAATATATTATAAGATTATTATAATATTATGAAAAATTTAGATCTGTAGTAAAAATTATTAAAAATATTTTTATTACAACTTTGAGCGGTTCAAATCAAATTTTAACTTTTTAATATTATAATAATTATTTTATAATAATTAAATCTCAATTATTAAAATTATGATCAAGTTTGGAAAAGATAAAGGGACAATGATAGTTAAATTTTTTTAAAAAAAAGTTAAAAATATTGATCTAAATAATTGCAAATTTAAGAGTTTTAATTATAAATAAATATTTAAATATTAAATAAGTATTTACGGCAGAATTCGAAAGCTCCTCCTTCAGCAGCGTGTCCGACGTCATTCATCTCTGAAGCCGAGACCTCTCATCTCTCACGGCTTCTTCTTGCTTCAGACTCAGTCTCGTCCGTGACTCATATTTGGTGTTTGTGGCCGCATCTAACACGTTGTCCTCCTTTTTGAAGTCTTCCGATCCTGGCTGAGGAATTTCCGCTTCTCGATATGAAGCTTCTCTCGTTTACTAAAAGCTTATTTATCTCTTGGTCAATATTTTTTAAATTTCTTTCTCAAGGTCAGTGAGACCAAGAGATTATGAAATATGTATTTTGACCAGCGGTGCCTACTGGTAATACTTACAAAAAGAAAATTTTTAAAAGACACACGGAATCTTATGTCATTTATGTTATATTTAAAAGAATAGTATGAATTAAATACATTAATGTCTTTTTATTAATTATATTAAAATAAATAGAAAAGAGAAGATACATGACTCTAAGAGTACATAATTATTTTTTTATTCTTGATGCTTATCTATGGGCTGCTGAATTCAACATGGTGTCTTTTTTCTTACTGGGGAGGATCACTGTTTGGAGATTTCCAAGTCTTCCACCAAACAGCCTTGTGCCGTATCATTCCTTTTAACATATTGCCGTTGAATCCTTCAACAATTTGAAAACTGAGGAAATGAGAAGCAATTCCATCTACGGCTTGATACCACTAAATTTAACGCCGCACTATCTAATGTCACTTATAATTTTTTTTTTCATGTGCATATATGTATATGTTCAAGACAAAGTTAGGTATTAAATTAATAGCGGATATGAACACTTTTTAAAATGATGATTTAAATATTGGTTTGTCATGTTGAGAGGGTATAATTCCTTTCACTAGATCAAGTAACATATAAAGCTTTAACCTAAGTGTTAATTTGAGGACGAAGTATTATAAGAGGCATTTTAGATGAGACGTACATTAGAGAACCTGAATCCAATCAGATCCCACGTAGTATTTACCGGTTTCTTCCGGCCTCCTTATTTTTTGATGAAATTCTCGTTCCTCCTTCGACGTCGTTTTTCAAACACCAATCAACTACTATCGTTTGGTCAATGGCTATACTCCAAATTACTCCGTCAACATGAACGACTTGACCTCTCTTTCCTTCTTAATAAAACTTCACCCACTTGACATGCAAATAAACTGAAACAAAGATATAATCCCATCAAATAGATCTCATCAAAAGATGCTTCCACCTAATTTATCCCTTCCTTTAATCACCTTCATATTCTGGTCATGCTGGATGCTTAACGGCGTCGTTTCGGACCCCCAGATCAATCTTCTAAGCCAAGGGTGCACCCCTTCGAACGCCTTTTTCGTCCTGTCCAACTTCTCCATCTTCAGCGACAACGTCAACAAAACGTTTGGCGAGATCAGAAAGAAGCTCGTCAATAATCAAAAAAAGCACTTCGCGACGGCGCCGCAAGGCAACGCAGAAAACCCAGTTTTCAGTCTTTTTCAATGCAGAATTACCTCTCCATTCATGACTGTGTTGCCTGCTTCGACGCCGCCGCCAAACAGATCCGGAACTGCCCTGCCGGAGCACAAGGTGGCCGTGCCGTCTACGACGGCTGCTTCCTCAGGTACAACTAGTCCACCAGTTCATTTTCCTCCTTTTCTTTTTTTCATTTTTCCCAGCCGCCAGGAAAGTTGAAGTCTGCCCTCTTCTTTCCTGAATATTTTATTGCTTTATTATGTAGTAGCTTTTGTGGTTTACGCCTTTGATTAAACTGTAGCAGAAGTGCGCAAACAAAAACAAAAACAAAAAACAAAGCCACCTAATCTTGCTTACTGGTGAGTGGGGTCCGGGGGTAAAAGGTAGGAACAATCCAGAAACTAAATAAAATTTGGTTTATTTTTATAGATGTATGGTACTATAATTAATATATAAAATAATATAAAAACAAAATTGATAATCATATATTTGCAAATTTTTATTTTATTGAAGCTGTACTTCTATTTTTTGTGCTAACCGGCCAATAGGTACATATAGGGAATGCATTTGGTGCTCACCACCCTATGAGGTGATCTAAGCCCTTCATTTCCTCCCAAATAATCTCTACTGGTGATTTAAAATTATATTTAATATATTTATATTATATTTATTGAAATAATGATTATAAAAAATTATAATATTAAATATGGGTGATGCAAAATATATCTAAATGATGGATCATTTAAATTATAAAACTTTTAGTATTAAATTGGATCTTCTAGACTATATTTATACTATCTAGAGTATGTCTGAATAGTTAATTTATAAAAATATTAAGAAATTAATATTAAATTGGATCGTTTATACTATATCTTTACTGGCTGAATTGGTGATAAACAAATTTATTAAAGATTTCTATATTTTTTACATATTTTTATTTTAATAAATATAAAATAAAAATAAAAAAACTTAAATTTGGATTGTTCAAATATTCTTAGGGATGATGAATACTATGATATTTATCCTCTAACAAGTATAAAAAAACAGTCCATATTTAATATTATTTTTTATAATTTTATATATTTTTATTTTGATAAATATAATATAAAAATATTTTAAAAAAATAATTTTAAATCAACAGCAGAGATCATTTGAGAGAAATGAAGGGCCTAGGTCATCCCATGGGGTGATGAGCACCGAATATAGTTCCGTACATATAGAGGTAAGACAGCTTCTATTTTGATCAGTGCAGAGCAAAACTTGTGTATTGAACTTGGAATTAGAAATGATAAGTGGTATACTTTGTGTAGAGGTATGAGACCAGTGCTTTCTTTGACCAGACAACTAAGAATTTCAATGCCGTGTCGTGTGGTAATCAAACTACAAGAGAATCCACAGAATTTACCTCACTTGTGCAACAAGTTCTAATGAATCTGCAAACAACACCACCCAAAAGACGTGGGCTTTTTGCAGCCACAAAAGCACAATTGCCTGAGAATGGTTCAACTATTTATGCGTTTGCTCAATGTACTGAAACTATCACACAAAATGGGTGCCTCAATTGCTTGAACACTGGGTACAACAATATTCTCACTTGTTTTCCCAATTCTGATGGTAAGGCTTTTGCTGCTGGATGCTTCATGAGATAATCTTTCACTTCCTTCTTTCCTGATAATTTCCGGGGCGTTGATGTTACTCCCTTAATAGACAAACAAGGTACGGTTAATTCAAAGATTTAAATATAACACAAATATTCCAATATCACTATTAGATTGTCCAATTATGGGTAGACTTAAGCTGATGTAAGAGATCACATATCGGATAAAACTGGATTTAATAATTAATATATAATAAAAAAAGATGCATAATTAAATTCAATTTTTTGAGGTTTTGAATTAAAATGTGGTGTTATTTAGCTGCTATTTGCCTATTTGTTCATGAGTTTGCTTGAATTCAGGTTTTAAGTTAAAATATGGTGTCCTTTGCTTTCAATATTTAGCCATCACAATTTGATTTTTTCTCGTCATGTGTAATTTTAAAACTCATGTTACATATTCCTTAATTTGTGAGTGCATGACTAGACATGCAAGGAAATATGTTTTCTTGAATGGTGTGGGATAGTTTAGGTGTTTTCTATTTATTTGTTTACTAGATTTTGTGAAAATAAATCAATACACACACAGAGACACACAAAAGTTTTTAACTATTCAACAACGTACCACATGAATTTTTTTTTTTTGGATTAAACAGAACACATGATTAACTTAATAGAAGTGAAAATAAGGGTCTGTGTAATTAATGTAGAAGTGAAAATCTATAGGGAATTAACCATGCTATTTATAAGTTATGAATATTACAATTCTTATATGGGTTTGCGTAATTGTTTTATTTTTCAACTTCTTTCAACACATTCTATTAGGGCTCCACACAACATTTTTTACTCATCCGATATTCTTCTACACATTATGATCGATAATGGGTGCATCATGAGATAATCCATCACTTCATTTTTTCTGATAATCAGACCATCAATATCACTCCCTTGAAACAAAAAGGTACATTTTTTTCAAAGGTTTAAATTTAACATAGACACTAAATATGAATTTGCATATGTATAACCTGATATAAATTTTAAAGTTATATTTAATCAACAAGAGCTATGACTGATTTGAAAATGATCAGTTCCCTATTTCCTTCCTTCAAGGTTCAAGCAAGAAAGTGGACATTATTGGTGGAGTAGTTGGAAGTGTAGCTTGTTTTTTAGTCCTCTTTGTATTATTTGCCTGGAGGATTAGACGACCAAACACTCCTAAGAAATTTTCCAGAGGTAAATTACTTGGATAGTTTTCAACTATTATACACATTTAATTATATAATTAAGGAGATACATTGGTTTTTCACTTTTTGCATGGAAAAAATATATAGAATTTCATCTCCACTTAGCGATCAATTCCTATTATTTTTTTTAATTACAAACACTCCTTCTAGTTCAGAATATAAATTAGGACACTTCCAACATGTGTCACACATATTAAAGAAATTTATTTTTTAATCTCATGAAAAACATAATTATTTTTTCAATGTTGCACTTATTCACAACTAACATCCATAATTTCTCACACATAATTACTCCAAGCACATATTAATCAACGCAAGGATAAGAATGAAAGATATTTATTAAAATTACAAAATGTCCTACACTTTAGACCAATAATAGCTTGTAGAATATGTCCTACATTATAAAATGAAGGGGGTGTGTGTGTGTGCGTGTGTTGACTAATTAATGTCATGCTGAACAGAAGAGATATATGGAGCAAGCAAGTTAGGCGGCCTAGTTACTTACAGTTATAGGGATTTAAAGTTTGCAACCAATAATTTTAGTGAAAAAAATAAACTTGGACAAGGAGGCTTTGGTGTTGTATACAAGGTAATAAAATTTATTTCTATTTTCAGCATATTTATATATTCAAAAAATACTTTCATAATTGAAATTCTTAATAATCATGAATAGGGTGCTCTTAAAAATGGGAAAGTAGTTGCAATCAACAAATTAACTTTTCAACAATTCACAAAGATGGAGGAAGATTTTGAAAGTGAAGTGAAGCTGATAAGTAATGTTCATCATCTAAATCTTGTTCGACTTTTAGGATGTTGCAATGAAGGGCAGAACAAACTACTTGTTTATGAATACATGAAAAACAACAGTCTTGACAAATTCTTATTTGGTAAGCTTCTATCTTCAGACAATGTCTCTATCTCGGTCATTAAGTAGTAGTTATTATAATATTCATAACATCATGGCGTAGATATTTTATTTTTTTTCGGAAATCATAATCAAGGACTCCTAGAGACAATTAATTACCCTGCAGGACCAAAGAATTATGATATTACTCTGCAAAACCAAAGTACCTAAATATAATTAAAATTTGTTGTGAAAAGACAAAGCTATCCCTGATATTTTTTTGTTGTGACAGGGGAATTAAGTGTTGTTAAAATGGAAATGAGATTTTTTTTTTTCTGAAATGGAGACTTGGTCACCAGATCATAACAATTCATCAACCAAATTAATATTTGTAGTTGTTAATGAAGGAAGTAATTGTTGTTAGAATAACAATGGGAGCTGGTTTTTCTCGAATAGGGACTTATTTATCGAATCACAAAGCTTGTTCTGCTCCATTACCAAGTTAATTTTTTGAAGGTGTTAATAATGTAATTGGTTATTGTTAGAATGAATATGAAACCTATTTTTTCTTGAATGCAGATTTGTTCACCAAATCACAATATTTATTCCTCGTCACCACCAAGTTAATTTTTTAGAGTTCTTAATAAGGGATTTAATTGTTATTAAAATGTAAATGGGACTTTTTTTTTTTTGAATGAGGAGTTGTTAAAAAAGTATATAATATACACATGAAGGGTATTTTTATCTTTTCAGAACAGAAGTAGGTTCTTGATTGTGATTTTTCCTGTTTTTTTTTTTTTTAACTTGACCACATGCGATTGACGCCTCAACCAAAATATATATATATATATATATATATATTCACGTCATAATCTTATTTAAGAATTTGCAGTAAACTTCTTTATCAATTTTCTATAAATGCAACACTTTGAGTATGACTTTCATGTACGTCCCTACATGTTAATCATATCCTTGAAATTGTGTAAACTTGGCAAGTAGGTGAAAAGAAAGGTTCTCTTAATTGGAGACAATGATATGCTATAATTTTAGGAATGGCAAGAGGTTTGGCTTATTTACATGAGGAGCTTCATGTTTGTATCATACATAGAGATATAAAGACTCATAACATCCTCTTAGATGGTGATCTACAACCTAAAATTACTGATTTTGGGTTGGCAAGGCTTTTGCCTGAGGACAAATCTCATCTTAGCACAAAATTTGCAGAAACATTATAAGTATGATGTATTTGTTTTATTTTCTGAACTTCTCATATATGGTGCATGAATTATATTATTGAAGATATTGATAAAATCTATGTATAAATCAATGGAACACTCCCATTACACCTCTAATTAGTTTTGCCATTTTATCCCGTTCAGCCTTTATGTTACTGTGAATACCTCGAAGGAACTTGTATTGATCTGGAACATGATGCAATCCTTTTTGTTGCTTACCCCTATTTCATACTTTTGTGGTTTAATAATATTGAAAAAAAATCGCTCAAATAAATAATGATGGATTTGTTTCTTAATATTTATGTGATTATGATTGAGACAATTGCTCTAATAATTACAATTAAAATAATATTTTGCATTTGTCAGGGGATATACAGCACCTGAGTATGTAATTTATGGTCAATTATTAGAGAAAGCTGATATTTATAGTTATGGTGTTATTGTCTTAGAAATCATCAGTGGTCAACAAAGCAAAGAATTAACCGTCAATGATGCTAAGGGTGAATTTCTCCTCCAAAAAGTGAGAAAATTCTCAAGGATTTTTGAAAGGGCCATTTTTATATAATTTAGATTCAAGACTTCTTTGACAACTTAATTTAACTCTTTTAGTAAATCCCGCTAGTACTTTATTAGAGAATCCAAAAATAAATATTTAAGAAAACATTATCCTAGGTTTTGCTCTGCCTATTATATATAAGCCTTCTCATTCCATTTCTCTTTAATTGTCAAATTGTTAGGCTTGGAAATTATACGAGAGAGGCATGCACCTAGAGTTGGTGGATAATACCTTGGACCCTAATGAGTATGACACAGAAGAAGTGATGAAAATCATAGAGATTGGTTTGCTTTGCACTCAAGCATCTACTGAAGGAAGACTAATGATGTCTGAAGTAGTTACTTTGCTCCAATATGAGGACTTTTTAGAGAATATGAAGCCCACTATGCCTATCTTGATTGAAACTAATTAAAGGTATTGGGGAATATAATACACTTCTACTTATAATGCTTCTACGTCCAATGCTACTGCCTAGATTGTTCAATGGTGTCACCAACAAAGGGTCGATTCAGATAAGGAAGAAGGAACTGGACAACGGGAAGCATGAGGATTTTTTTAAGGATAAAACGGGTGGTATTGCATGGTAACAACTATTCATAGCCCTGCACCTGTGAATCCTTGTTACCATTATTTGATAATCATCATTATCATTCCCGGTGTCGAATATCAACCAAACACATGCTTTTATAGTTATGAGATATAGATTATCATTAATTATGCTAGTAGAGCTGCAATGGGATATTGAATCAAACGAGTCATAAAATGAAGAGAGTGATGAGTGCATAATTGTGAATTATTCGTGTTGATGAATAGTTACTTCTTCACCATAAATTATAAAAGTATGTGTTTGTTAACCCCTAGGATTTCATATCATTTGAGCACATTTTCCTTAGATTTTGATATATTTTGGCTCTATTTATATATTTTGCTTGTCTAAATTAGGAAAATGGGCATCTTATATAGAGTTTGTACATTTAGCTTTACTTTGTCACCTTTGAGCTAAAGTAGTGTTATTTTGGTGTAAAGTTAGAATGGAAGCAATTTTGGACCTTCAATGATACTTTTGAGAGGCTTTTAAGTGAAGAAATCAAGTGCAAAGATGATAAATTTCATTAATTGGAAGAAGTGTGAAAAACTAGCTTAAGTCGTAACCAAAGTCTCGACTTTATTTGTGACTTTCACCTCTGTCAGCAAAACATACCATTTTATTTATCTAAAATATTTGGGTAGGATACATATATGCTATTTGCTCGACCCAGAACAAATGATTCACACCTTAAGACACATTTGGAGCTTGGTTGTGATAAGGTTTAGGCATTGAAAGAGTTAGGATTAAGAGATTAACGCTTTGAAGATATTTGGAGCTCATTTTCTTTTGTTTTTCTATTCCTCTTTCCTTTCCTCCCTTATAATCTGAAATGAGTTTGAATTTTTTGTGTATTTATAGTTTGTGGATGATTATGAGTAGTTAAACACTTTACTTTAGGATTATTCAAAACCCTTATATGGATTAACACTAATTTTCTCCTCTTTTTTGTGATTAATGATATATATGTGTCTGTGTTTATTTTAATACTCTTATCTTAATGTTTCTAAGTATTTGGCTACCATTTAGTTGTTAGGCTCATTTGATTAATGCTTGAAAGGATTAGATTAAGTGTAAAATTTTGGGTAAAACAGTGCAAGAACTTAAACTTTACAAGATTAATGGATGGTTTTGCTAATGAAATAGACATATACTTACTAGCTAACCTTGCATAGCCACATTAGGGTTATGCTTAAAATTAGATTTTATTAATTGTAATAAGAGATTGGGCAACTAATTTAGTTAAACATTTGTTCATGAATTAAGAGAGTTTGTTCAATTATTTTTAAAACCTTATGTTAACACTTATCTTCATTAAAAGCATTTATAAGAGAAGGTAATTTTAATGTTATGAGTGCAATGGGGATAAATAATCCTAGGTATTAATTTGTGCTTGAAACTTGTGAATAATTTGTTTTTCCTTATTTTTAACTTTTAATTTAATTCACAAAATTAACTTTACCTGATTGTGTTTTGCTCAACTTAATCGAATTTATTTAATCTTTTATTTGATCATTATTTTTACTCACATTATATTACTTGTCACAACCCATGCACTTACAAAGATCACAATAGTGTTCAATAGGAATTTTAAAGAAAATAAAGCAAAAGCAAGTTCATCACAACCAAACTATTTTCTACCTTAATTGGGAACTTAAAAAAATATAAATAACAACTCTATCAATTTTTGGATAAGAACATATATAAGAAAAAAAAGAGAGAGAAAGGGAGAGAGATGAATCAACTCCTAGATCAAATAAGATGCTCTGGACTTAGTGTTGTGCCTTTTAGCTCTGGAGAATGAGATTAGATGCCTTTGAATGACTCCTAAGGCTTCTTTTATAGGTTTTCTCACACATAATTTCCCAAATCTACTCTTCTTACGTCTCTATCTTTTAAAATCATTTAAAATATAAATTTAAATACAAATCCACATAAGACACATGAATCTAATACACGTTTGCGGACAGATGTCTACATACATGCACGATGAACGTCGAAGGCTCTCTTGTCCATTTCTTCATCCACCAACAAGTGAATGCTGAGGGTTGTGTGTATCCAGTTGCAGAAGTGAAGCATGTACATAAAGATAAATTTAATTTACAATATCAAACATGCACTCTCTCCTAGTGAGAGTCCTGGGCTTGCCCTTGTGAGGGCAAGATAGGGACTGGGACTGGGACACTCTCACCAAGAAAGAATCCATGCCCAATAATATTTGGCCTATTTTTATTCTTTTTGGCATCCTTTCTTTGAAATTTAATTTACATAAAATAACTCATTTTATGCCATAATCAATAAATTTGAAAGTTAAAAACTTTATATATAATTTAAGTATACTTTTAGCTTATCAAATATAAACTATTAAAATATGTTGAACTAAGTGTTTTGATGATAACAAAACCAAGAGAAATGTATTCTTTACTTTTGCAAAATAAATATCATGAATCAGGTAACAAAACATCAAGAAGGAAGAATGAGCATGAAGAAGTCATAAAAGGAATCATCATAAATATGCTGCACTCAAAGATAAGCGAGCATGAAGAAAAAGAAGAATGAAGAATCATCATATGCATGCTAGAGAATAAAGAATCGAGGGAGAAAAAAAAAGAAACTTTCATAAGTTGTATTTATTTTACTTTTCTAGACAAACTTATGAAAAACTAATTGAGAACATAAACATGAATTCAAGTAAGAATGCATCGTGTACAAAGTCATAAGCTCATAAGTTTTTAAGGTTAAAAAGTATTATCCACGCAAGGACAAGAAATGTCCACACATGTTTGACACACATCTAGATGCACTTATTTTTTACATTGTATCATTCAGCTTAGACTGTGTAAGTCTCCCACTTGTGATTGATAATTTTTTATGCATATAGAACTTAAAGAATCTTTGTCAAGCTTGAACTATAATGTGACCTTGCTTGAATTAGTGAATTAGCAGTGAAGACATTGCACTATATGCTAGTTCACACTTGGACATCCTTGTGTCCTCACTTAGTTAGCAAGACAGTGTGAAGAAATGTCTTGGTTAAACTTCCATGATCTAATTCAAGTTTAGATGTTATTTTTATCACACTTGATTGATCTGAGTATTAACTTGATGTATACCTAAGAAGTAATCCATGCTTGGATTTTGTCAAATCCATGCTTGAATGAATGAATCAATTGTTAATCTTCAAGCCTGACTTAGAGTTAGCCTTAGCGCTAAACAAGCTATTTAAGCTTGGTTTATAGATTGTCGAAGCATGATGCACATCACAGAGAGGCAAGGTGCCTCTATATATATACTCATTCAAGCTTGGTACTCAAATTACCCATGCGTGTTTGAACTCATAAAGAAGCTTGGCGCTTCATACACATTATACACATTTGAACCCTGAATGCGCTATTACAGAATTTACCAAAGCACTTTTCTAAATAAGTGCTCCTGTATGTCAGGGCTTCTCAATAAGATAACGCTCCTAATTAATATAAATAAAATATCAAAAATTTAAAAAGACCTGTGGGAGCGCTTGTAGGTAAGTACTTCGGAAGAAGGCGCTCTTTTGGAGCGCTCGCCCAAGGAGCACTCTGGAAGAACGAACACTCCGGAAGAGTGCCTTCTTCCAGAGCGCTCACTAAAGAGTGCTCCGGAAGAATAGTCTCACATTTTTATTTTTCCATCCCCGTCAGTTTTCTTTTCCTCATTCATGAGTTTCTTTCAAAACCTCTCTCTCATTTGCTGAGGCCTCCTGTTTCGTCTGTCATTGTTCTCATCCGTCGTGCCTCGCTGTTTCGTTCATCGCGCCGTCGCTGTTCCATGTTTCTGTACCACCGCCACTGTTTGCTGTTTGCACCATCACTGTTCACAGTTTCTATGCCGTCGCCGCTGTTCTCTATTCTAGAAAGTCATCTGTCGTCGTCACTGTTCCAAATCTGCATCTCTATTCTAAATCTGCATTGCTATTCCAGATCTGCATCGTTGCTGTACACTGGAGGAAGCGACGTCGTGAAGACCTCTGTTGCTGCCATGTATTGCTGCTGCCGTGAAGACTGCCATTTTCTGCTGTGAAGACTACACTGTGAAGGTATTTTTTTAATAATTAATATGTAATATATTGATATATTGATATCTATTTGAGAATAAATTTCATATATATTTTTTTAATAATCAATATTATAGATAATATATGAATTAAAGTTATTTATATTAGATAGAGTATTTGTAGTTGATAATTTAGATTAAAGTTGAGGAAACTACTTGAATATTTTTATTTTATTTATGAAATATACTTCTAATTTTTATTTTGATGAATTGATTGTTTTTAGTTTAAATGTATTGTGTTGTGGAATTTGATTGTTTGATCATTTGGGAGGTTCTTCTTTTAAGGTAGATGCTATTGAATTTTTTTTATCGAAATCTAAGTCTTTTGTTTATTAAATTTTTATAATCATATTAGTGATATAGATCATAAGTGGATGTCAGCTAATCAACTATCAAGAGAATATTGGGACGGTATGGATGAATTCATTGAATTTACATTTATCAGGATACAGTATCAAAGGACGAGATGCATGTCCAGTATGTGAGGAGCACACTTGTTCAGTGCGATTGGAACATTGTAGGAAGAATGTCTTTATTGGTCATCGACGATTTTTGCCGTAAACACATCATTACCGACGACTTAAGATATTTCTAAAAATATAAGTCAAAAGCTTTGAAATTAAGTTTGAGTTAGGAAAAATTGTTTTTACTTTGTCTTTGAAAATATTAGAAAGGACTGTAACAACTTACTTGTCTAAGTAAGTGTGATGTTGAAAATCAAGATAGTTTATGTCTTTATGTGGTTGTACTATAATAGCAAGAACCCACTGAAGCTTGTGTTTATAGTGAAAAATCTCAAGTGTGATCTTGAGAACTAGATATAGGCTTGGTGGGAGGCTAAGCCAAGATAAATCATCTATGTCCACTTCTCTTCTCAATCAAAAACTCATTTCTTACTTACAAATTTGTGTTCAAGTTGTGCTATACTTTGCTTCATCTTTTAGTTAGGAAAACTTTTTTGAAAATTTTTAAGAACACCCAATTCATTTGTAACATCCTCAACTTTAGATCAAGATTAATTAAGTTTAGATAGAATAATTAAGTAGATTTGTGAGGTGTGTGACTAGAGAGGCCTAACAGGTGTGTTTGGTCTTGATTTTAGTTCTAAATGTGGGTTCGAAGGAGAATCAAGTCACCCGGGAATGGAAGAGGAGGACTTTCTAAAGGAAGTGATTTTGTGCCACGCGCTACAGCTTGTGGTTGGTCCGTCACAGCGCATGCATGACAACACACCTAAAAGAGGCTCTCTGTGCCATACACTGTGGCATATTGTGCGTCTGCTGCAATACATGGTCAAAATTTTGCAGTATTAAGTCGCGAACCTAAAGTAGAAGAGAAGAGAAAACAAAGGGAACCGAGAGAGCAACAAAAGAGCTAAGCTAAGGCTTGAAGAAACTGATTATTAAGAGTAAATTATATCTCATAAACACCAAAGGTAACCTTTCTTGCTTAAATCTTCCTCTCTTCTTCCATTTTCTTGATAGTAAAGGTTAGGATTTGATTGTTAATGGTGATTTTTGGTCCATAGAAGTTATGGGTCTGAATCCATTAACTTAAATAGAGTTAA